AATTGAAAAAATCAAGACCAAGTAGATAGAGAGACAGATTAATGGATAAAGAGAAGTAAAAATTGTTGTCACCTAGCAACCAGGAAGTAAAAAAGTGTGCTATAAAATTCATTGTGCAAGGTACAGAATCACGCAGTTGTAAGCAAGCAGTTGAACGAGTGGATGCAAAATGTAGCACACAAAATAATTTCAACTTAATTTATGAACTGACCTCTTATAGCAGTTTACTCCAAACTTATTGAACGTTGGAAGTAAATTTACGAGTATTTCCCAATAAAAGTTTTGAATTTGAAAGAAAATTTGAATAGATAGTCCCTTTCTTTTCTTCTTTTTGATTCCCCTACTTTTTTCCCTCCCAAAATAGTTCATATAGTCTGCTTGTATCATAATAGGCTTATAATTACTTCATTTTGTATCAAAAATGACAAATGCAGAAGTACATATCATGAATCTCTCATTCAACTACATTGGAGATTATTCGAAAAAAAAGAGAAGAAAGAAAGCTTGAAAAGATGAACATAACAGATATGTGAATTATTCAAGGAAAAAACAAGTAATAAAATCATACTGAAAAATTAAGAGAATTATACTGTTGACTGGGAGTACTGATGAGTTTCTTCAATATCTAAAATACACTAAAAAAGATACTACATAGCAGTAAGTGCGCAGTGGCCTAAATGACTGCATTTACAATACGCTTCTAGTGGTACAGAAAAACACTGGCAAACTGTCTAACCCCCAAACATGTATTTCTTATTCACAAAGGGTATTTTCTACCTGAGCAAGAAATCATATCAAAGGTGAGGAGGCAGTAACAGCGAACATCAGTCAACGTTAATGAGTAATGTGTTTGCGTCTTTCTCACAGACTCACTTTCTCGATAAAGCAAACAGGTAACAGTCAGTATAATGCGCTTTTTGTGGCTATCACTTAAAAGCTAAATACAGTTCAAACGATAGAATGAAGTGTGCGGGTAAATGCAATTTCACTTCATATATACTTTAAGAAAGTTGAGTGATAGATGATCAGTCGAGAAATTCAACATGAAATAATTGTGACGATGACGCCGCGGATCCCTGTGATAATAAGAATTAAGCCCGAATGCAGTGTAACAGAAGACAGCAATAACACCACAACACATTTGAATTTCCATAAATGCCCTCTTTGAAAGTGGATTTTATTAGCCTATTTCTTATCAAGTAGTCGGCAAGCAGAGGGGAAAATTTTAATGCATAAAGCGCGTCACTCACGCCGTACAAATGTTGATATATGATAACCAAAACGTAGTCAGAGGTAAATTCGTCACCATTTCATTATGAAGAAACAACTCATCCATATTAGTTGTTGTTTTTGAATAAAACACATTACTGATTAGCTTTACGATATCACATCTTCAAACATTTTTGCAACTTGCGTTGAAAAATAACGGCAAAAATTAGTGACTGAAGCATTTGGTAGTTTCATAATAAAGTGCCATAAGATGTGAAGGTAAAAGTAAACGTGTAAAATGTGAAAAATTTCTTCAAACTTCTCCGACTTCTCTTATTCATTTCCAGTTTGCCAGATGTACTCATGTAAAATTTGCGAGAAATATTTCCAAAGGTAGCAAACAACGAGGTGCTGCAGAAACTTATGCACTCATCATCACGATGACTTTTACAAGTTCACTGCATAAATGACAAAATCATGAGTTGCTAAAGTGATGCTTATCTGTTTCTTGCAGTGTAATAATATCATAAAATAATGGTGAATCTCAATTAATCTTAGCCTAAATTAACTTCTGTTATGCTCGCAATTTTCCATACCTATAGTTGATTCTGCTCTACTAGTAGCAAAATACGGTTTCATGCAAAAAAATAAATCGTCCCTCACAACATTGAATTTCTCAAACTGAACATGAAAATCAGTGCCATCAATAGTGCGACTGTCAGATTAATTCGACTCCGTCGATTTACATTCAAATGGGATATGTATTCACTGCACGGTGGTAATTGTCCCTATGCGCATCTATTTCTTATGGTTTTGCTATGTGACTATTTAATTTACTATCTGTATCTTTCTTACCACATCTTCACTTATTCAAGAAAACGGGCAAACTGTGGAATTATGGCGTTTAAAAGTAATAAAGTCATGAATACTTGAAATGTTTAGATTGCTATTCGTCTCAATAATGCTTCAATTTTGACTTTGGAGCTCATTACTTGAGACAAATAATAAGGTAATTTTTATTTATCACTGAATCAGTTCTTCCAATCATGGCAATGTTTCTTTAACATCAAATATATCAAAGTTCTTCAGTTATGATGCAACTGTAATAAACAAAAACAGTAGCGGAGAAAACTGACCAATTTTATTCTCCTTATGTCTACCATTAACTAATTTATGCTAGTGAAGCACAAAAAAGATGAAGACATACGAGCGTAGATACAGAAATGCATGACAATTTTGGGACAAAAAGTATTTGATGAAAATACATGGTTGAAATTTTGAAAAGTTTGACTTTATATTTCGATGTCACTTTTTAGATATCGCTCTGAGCATAAAATAAGCCAATAAATTACATTACTGCTTTAATCTGCTTTTCTACTGCTCCTCCATCTCAGAAAAGTATCAGTTTCCCCACAATTTTACGACACATTTAAGCATTACTGCATAAATTTTGACAACGGCGAAGCAAACCTTTTTGGTTGTTTTCACAGTGGTACCATCGCATTACAAACGTATTCTCTGTTCTCTAAGTATAGGGATGGCAACTTGAGATTTTAGCAAATTTCGAACTAATATGTTTCTCAACAAAGGTACAACAGAAACAAATATGTATGTAAAAGGGACTGGCTGATTGAATTATACTTTTGGAATGGTATGCAACGGAAAGGGGAGAGGGTTGAAGTGATGAATTCATTCAACTCAAGCAGAGAAACTGGTTTTGTCGATGATTCTGTCCTACATATTGAGGGACTTAACATACTCATACATATATACATACATCCGTACACACCTATTAACTAACTACTTGCTCGTGTGTCACTTTATACAACGACTTAAATTTCAAAGTTCATTAAGCCATGTGCGAAAAGACACAATTGATTGATTACATGAAATACTTTAGTTTCAGATGACATTTTTTACACACCATCAGAACTCTAAATTTTCACTAGTCAACTTATGATCAATCACTGCGTAACGCACCTCCACAACTCTGTCAATTTTTACAGCTTCGATCACTTTCACAGAAACAGTCCGTTGGAAACAAGCATGTGAAAATGATTTTCTTACGTAAAACAAAACTGCGTGTAGAGAGAAAGTATGGAGATTACTCAATGTCCGATTAAATAAAATCTCTACTGTCAAGAAAAATTCATTAACTATTTTGCACGCAGTCCATAGAGAAGCATTTGCTGAATGCCAACGAGTTATAAACGTACGCATTTCTTTCTAATATATGTGAAATTAGAAATGTGTTAGTTCCCAGTCACTTATGCATTATACTCATTACATTACAGGCCTTATTTTCATGACTTCCCTTATTATTTACCTTTTTAGTGTGGAGTAATAACGCTAAATTCTCAGCAGAAAAAATACATTATCTTTAACAAACACACTTCTCTTACCCGCGCAAAATACTTGCCATTTTCAATTCTTTCTTGAAACTATCAATTTATTATTACCAAATGTGCTACGGTCTCCCTCATTCAGAGAGATTTCAATACTTTACAGCCTACAACAAAACTTTGAATCTCACTTCATTATATCGCTGTTTTATTAGGACAAATATTCAACCACAAATTGAAACAATCCATAAAATGTAAAAAGATTAAGAAAAAGTTAAGGAATAGTTCTATTCAAGGCATATATGTAAGAACACTAATACGTCTATGGCCAGCATGACGCACCGACTAAAGGATAGAAAAGGAATCAAACGAGAATTGTTCCCAATGAATTAGAACAGTAAAGAAGGTGATGGTAAGTCTCGACAAGTAGCGTCCAGAAGAGTTCAAATAGTGGGAAAGAGGAAGGCAGAGGAAGGTAAATTGTCCCAGGTGATCTTCTATCTATATGATCGATCAAGCTACGATAATATGATCAAGGTCAACGCGTTGGTAATCACCCTTTCCCCACTCTCGTTTTGATATACGAAACCACCCACTACTGAAAACAATTCAAAAACGTACAAATACTTATCAATTATCGATCATTAACCTACTGCGAAACTTGATGTGTAATGGTGCTTCCTCCTCTTGAAACTCCTGCTTGAGCTGCTACAAATAACACTAATGTAAACAGGTACCTTGTAATGACATGCCAGTGCTTCTCCATTTACAGAATACTGATATTACATAAATAATCTCATAAATAATTTCCAGAATTTGCACTCATTAAGTTGGAATTTCCGTGAAGTAAGAATGCTGAGATACTGAAATATATAAATTGACCGATATTGGAGTTCATCCATGTATACATTTTTGACTAAATCGAATAAAAAATCATAGATCAAATAGCTCACACAATATTATCGCAGCTGCTAAGCCTTGATAAAGAGGGCGTTTATTTTCAAATGTGACATAGACATAAGAAAAGAAATATACACGACAGGAGAAATAAATTTAAAAAAAACCAAATCAAGCATTCATAGACACTATTCAACATCCTAATCTAAAGTCAGAATTCGAATGACACTGAGAATTAATGCTAGTCTGCACCATAATAATAAACAGCACAAACAATTTGATTCTTGAAAGTTTGTGAAGAAAGAAAATGCATTTAATACAACATTCATTATAAGTAAAAATTATTCTTGAAACTGACCACATACCCTAACTAGTTGTTCACTATGAATTAGATGTACTAAATAACAATTTAAATACATACAAAGCAAAATAGAGCATAAATTACATAACTATGACAATGATCAGAGAACTAAAAAATATTATATTTTCAGTGCTATGTACAAGTTATTTTGACATCATACTATGATCAAAAGCAGAGAGCTATAAAGATGGCTATCGAGGCTGCCACTGCAAAAGCCGTGGTCTCAACAGTAGCCGAGGTTTTTTGGCAACCCCGCTTTTCCAACAGTGCATCAAAAATCGATGCCTTACGTACAAAACTTGGTCACCTTTCCAATAACGCGTTAATTTGAGAAAGTGAAGTGTCTCTACAAATCAGTGGTTAAAAACATATCCAACACAATTCAATGACTTATCAAGCTGACTATAAATTAACGTACCAACTATATCATTGACATGAATAGACGTTCTTCGACTAAGATCTGCTATTGAAATTTTCGAACATGTTCTCAAAACTTCAAGTACTGCCCACGACCAATAGGACCGGTAACTTAATTTACCCAGATCACTTAATGGCTTTTCAGGAGAACCAATTAAGCCCTCTCGTTTTGAAAGCTCATAACCTAAAATTCCAATATAATAACTGAAAGCCATCATCAAATACTGACTGCATTTTATACCATCATAATTATTTTTAGCATTTCTTTTAAAAAGATGATAAAAAACTGACTCAGTTGAATAAGAAATTTTCCATATCCACTACGCTGAAACGGAGGGAGTATACAAATGCAAGCAAGGTTGTTTTGATCTGGATTCCCCAATTCTTTCGAAAAATATCCTACCATTTGAGCACCTCGGCTATCAACCTACAAAACAACCGAGTTCAAAGCCAATCTAGTAGAATTCACAGTACAGACAATGCAACAAGAGATTCCAAAGGAACTACTTTAAAAAAATTAACTCATGCAACATATGTTTAATAATTGATAAAAAAAACCATCTTACTTCGCAAAGCACGTAGAACAAAAACGGTTCAACATCAAAATATAGCGTCTTATGATCGAGAAACAATTTAGCCAAGAGACATAAACACTGACAGTATACCTAGAGAATAAAATTTAGTCAACATATTTTTTATAAAAGTTTAACCAAAAACTGGTAGCAAGCGTAATTATTAGAGTCGAAAATAAGATTTTACCTTATCACTGCTACCACACACTTCATAAACAGATAATGATTTCTCTTTATAAATTTCAACACCAGGTGGTTCCTTTCTTCCGCATTCAAGCAAATGAGTACGATAGCTCCGCTCAAACTTCATATAACGCATACAATACTGACAAACGTACAGACTTCGCGCTTTTCCATATTCATCTGGATAGGGCGAGAAGTACCATGTGTCAATTTCATAATTGCCATATCTGATGCGTTCAATATGTTTCACTCTGGTTACCTTAAAATTTTAATTACACTTACAGGCACAGAAATTTCATTGGAACACGCGTCGAAAAGCGACAAAACTTAATGAACATTTGAAAGATTTTGAACGATAAAACTGCTGAACTCCACTCTGACATTAGATAGATTAAGTGAATATTTCTAAAACCACAGCAAAGAATGAAGCCAATAGAAGTGAGCTTTCTTATTAAAATAAGACTAAAACCCTAATAAAATTGAAGAAGATGATCTTCTTAGTAATGTAAAGAAAAGACTTCTTCGTGTTCTTTCTCAAGTGCGTTCCTTTCTTCTTCTAAAACGGAATGTCCATTCGGAGATTCACTATGTTCAAAATGTTTTCTCTTGCGCATCCTCTTCGTTTTTATCTGACCATCATCAAGTGAAGTCTGCAATAATACAATAATTACCAGCAACACTATAGCATGTGATCAGCACATATCTTCAAAATATAAAAATAGCATCTAAGTCTAATAACTAATAACATTTCGATGAATAAGCCAGTATAAAAATATGGACGGTCGCATTAAATATTAAATGTTCCTGACGTTTTCAAACACATCCTTTGTATCCCATGCTTTCTTCATGTTAGATATTACTTACATAGTTCTGTACAGCGACTTTCTCAATCTGACTTCGTCGTGCCCACTCATCTAGGCGTCGATCTGCACCCTCATAATGTACATAGTACTCATCCTCTGTTCCTGTTTCCGTTGGTCTTTTATCGATAATAACAGCACGTCGCCGCCTATTTGTTCCTTGACGTAAAACCATACATACTTCACCCAAAGCTAAGTGATTACTTGAACCTGACTGAGTGTCTATAATTTCATAACTTACAACTGAAAAAAAATTGGTTTTACATAATGAATATGTAGAGAAAATGAATAATCAAACACGAGAAGTAATGAAAATTTTGCCATGATATCCATAATACAGTACACTAATATGTTTTCACAAGACATCTTCATACTCACGCACTGATGAGACGAAATGATGAATTGTATATAATAAGAGATGCAAGGAGAACCATTTCAAAATACCTCTGTCAAAAACAACACTACGACGAAGATAACGATGTTGTCGCGTTGTGATGTACTCACGCTCGTAAAGAGCTGAGTGATGGTTAGGTCGGCTATAGTTTGATATGATGGTGGTGATTTTAGTTGACTGAGATATTCTAAAATAAAAACGCTAACCAACTCCCACCTCCTACTTACCAAAATTACATTACTCTAAACATAGGAGTCCGAATTCTCTATAAATAAAACCGCACGAATTTTATTTTCCTATGCAACACTGCTGCAATATCATAAGGAGTGTGCATAACAGTAAAGTATCGGAGAGTAAGTAGTTAAATATTGATTCTGAATAGGTTCAATGATTTTATCGGCTTCGATACTCGCTTTTTTTATGTTATTGGCACAGATTACAAGGCAGAGCAAATTAAGTAGGGATTGACAGTAGTGAGATACTGATTATAAGGTCACACTGTGTGCGGATATTACGATGTGATAAGTGTCCGAACTATTTCAAATGTTTGTATAATTATAAATTCTGTCGGAAATTGTTTCAAGATTTCATATGCTATGGCTTCATTTGTCACAAGTTCCTAATCACATTTGCATGCTGCTGATGTCTTAAATTAACTCATTACACGAACAACGATAGTATGTACGGATTTTCAAACGCAACTTTTGGTATATTATGGTAATAATATATATCCAAATGTTACTTTACTGAAAATCTTGATTCACTGTATATTGTTTGTTCTAATTGTGTCAGAAATATCCCATAAAATCTAATATTTTGACGAGATAAGTTTATTATAAGTTTATTTTTATTATTATTTTTCTTCTTTCTAAACTCATTTTTTAGGCTACGTTAAATATGAGTGGTGAATCACTGCTAGACCTTAAAGTGAATGGCGATATGGATGATAATGACGCAAAGTATTCGACGGATTATGATGCTACATCAGAAAGTATTTCTTGTTCTTCCGTAGTAGAAACAAGCATTGATCGCACAATATCAGATGCATCTGTCGAGTTCATACGTAAAAAATTTGAATCTGACAAATATCTCCTAAAATCGGAATCGAGTGGCTCAATATCTGGCTCGGATTTGGCTAAATGTAAGGTCAAATGGTTTTATTTTCCTAATTCGGAATGAGATAGAAGGGGCAGAAAACTTGTTGTTGATTCCTTCAGGTTACGCTTTATTAAGCATTAATGTAGGCTACGAAGTAGTAGTGTAACTCATGTTAATTATTACTTTATCATTATAGAGATTATCTGTAAGGAAATTAAAGTATCAGTTCGTATTAGAAAATAGAGGGCAGTCTTTTAGCTCATGGTTTTACATCTGGCAAAACTTCTGATGATCTAATCGATTCAAGACGCAAGTTTCGCATTCTTGGATTAAAATTTCCTGGCCAGTGGGTCATGAATGAGAATTTTTGGAGTTTACTAGAGAACAGTGAATCTTTCTATGTATGGTTCGACAAAACCGCTGGAGGTATACATTTCGAAATTTTATACATGCTCGATTATACAAATTTTTTGTTGTTACGGAAAGTAGTGTTAAGCGAAACAGGATGTTCAGTGAATGAGTTCTGAAATTGATGTTCATTTTTAATCCAGGTGGTGTTAAACATGGGGAACTGTGTGCAGCATATGAAACACAGGAAGACGCAATACATGCAATCACTGCATTCAGCGAAATGTCGTTTGATGTGGTACCTATATCATTATTGGCATCAAAACCTTTTTGTAAGTGTTGACTGTCACTCACCTTTTTCTATAATACTGTAATACTTAAATAAAATTAGTTCTGAATAAGGGTTTCTTTCATCACTTATTCATTTGCATTACTGAAGTTTCTGGAGGTTTCAGATGATTCAGTTCCTTGTTCCCGAACTGATCATCCACCTACACCGTTTGACATAAATCCGTCAGATGCAGATGGTTCAAGGCGATTATATGCTCTTCATTTGTCTTCTTCTGCTGATGAAACGCTACTTGCATCAATATTCGGCAGTGAATCGATTGAATCAGTCAGAATAGAAGTCGACCCCTTTACATTATATGAAAAACAAGCTGAGGTCTTAATAAGATGTGTTTTGAAATATCAGATGTCATGATATGGTAGAAAAGTACAACTCGAAAATTTTCTGTTAGACGGGGTGTTGTTTTCATCACTCTCTCTTGAATCTATGAGTTCGTAATTGTTCATCAAATTCTGAATCTAGTATTGTCTTTATAGCATTCAGTCATTTGTTAGACTGTATTTAGATTGTGTTTCGTAGTGAGGAAGAAGCAGATGACGCTATAGCAGAGTTAGGAGATGGATTTGAAATTGATGAAGGCGATCGTCAAATCACTATGAAGTTTTTATATTTTGTATATTGACAATCCTTTATTATTTCTCATTTATTGCTTATAAAATGTGCAATTAAATGAAAGGTTTTCAAGTTTATGATTTTTATGGAGTTATGCTTAATTATTAATTAGAGTATCACTAATGTTTTGAGCTAAGCTCACAGAAAAAAGATTTTATATTTTATAATGTTTCAACTGTAATGTATTATGAACCTGTATACAGAAATCTGAAATCTACTGGAAAATCGAAGGTGTGGATATGCATTTTTTTTGTTTCTTTTGGTTTTAGACTAATGAAAGTGAACGAATATGCTACATATATGAAAGCGGAATATGATAAATTTCTCAGTGCATACATCGTACCTCCAAGCATTCCTTTCGAACGATCTTCATCGTCTTCCAAGCCGTCATCTTCAGTATCGTCAACAGCGATTGCATCTGTTTCAGAAACTGCCGTTGCACCATTTGTCCTTGCTCCTGAAATCACAGTTGAGGACGTTACGGGTTTTATGCAACAGGTGCTTTTTTTCTTTTGTTGAAGAAGAGAGCTCTTTATTTGGATTTGACATGATCATTTCGGTAGAGTACTAAAATACTTGGATTTTAGTACGTTGATGACTCGCGCACCAACTGGGCAGAGTTAAATGAAGCAGATGATCTATGGAAATTGTGTGATGAAATAAGCAAATCACGTAAAGGGATTCCAGATTCCTTATTGAAAGCTGCACTACTAAATGTATTGGAAAGACACCAACTTACTGTCGAGTCGGAGTGGATGAAACATCATGTTGATGTTCTTATCAGGTGGATCATGAAAGTTCAATATGTTGGTTAAGTTAAAATGAAGACGTAATAAAAAGATAATTTTCAGAAATGTCCGGTAACTTGACTATCATTCTTCTCTGTTTTGTTCATTATGCAATAGTACATGATGAAGTGCATTGAACATTCTTTCCATTAATGCTGAATGGTAGTCTTTCTATGTTATCAATTAATATAAAATAAAGACGTTAAATAGGAAGTGGAAGAAAGAGATGCTGAATATGAAGAGTGCTCAGCGTTCTACAAGTTACACAATGTGTGCTGCGACATATGTACCTCATAATTCTGTTCCACCAAAAAATTCTATGAGCAGTGCTAAGAAACGTGCTTTAGCAACAATGATGGGTGTTGGAAAAGTGTTGAACAAAGTACGGACGATGTTGGCAACAGAAGAAGGGGAATTAGATGTTGATGAAGATGAGCATGGTTAATTTTCTTTATTTTTATTTGATATGTATTGTTTTTGTTGAATAGTGTCTGCCAACTATTTTTTTCTTCTGATTCATAAGACTCTTAATGAATTATTAACTGCTCTGAGTGATCCATTTTCATTACTTGTGTTTCCAGTTTAACTACAGGATGGTATTTGTTTTTTTTAGAAATTTTTTTTCTTTATATGTACTTTATAGTCGTCGGATATTTAGGAAATTACACTATAGATGGACAACCACTTTCGTTTGAATCATGGGCCGATATTAATAAACCAGTTGAACCAGCACCAATTCATGATCGCTCCAAATCATATATTGATCCAAAACTGCGGAAATTGAGGTGATTTCAGTGTAGGAGTCTGTTACAATCAATTTCTTTGTTTCTATATTACCGGATAGTTTTGGTGAAGTACTTTAAGTTTTGTATGGTATAGTTTCATTTTTGTCCTTTCTATAGCTGCATATCCCTCATTGTAGTCTTATCTAACAGTCTGAGTTTCAGGAGTCAGAAGAAAAAAGAAGGTCGGCGAAAAAAAATGGAAGAGGAGAAGCTTAAAAAGATGACGGATGCAAAAAAAGAATGTGAACAATATCAAGGTTCTGTTTCTGGTGAAGAAAGTGCAGGAGCAGAAACTGTTACGCCTGAAATAAGAGAGGTCTGAATTATATTGTTGTTTATGTTATATATGTCCTATCTTTTACTTCGATTATTTTTGATTTAAAAAAAATTGACTGAAAACAAAAGAATTTTCAAAAATCTTTAAGTTGGAAGAGGGGGAAATGTCAGATAGTTCGTCATCGGCTTCCACTTCCTCAGATGAAGATATTGATGAAATAACCTCTAGACGCAGGCGCCGAAAACGCCGAATACAAGAACAGTTAGTTTTCTTTTTTTATTTTTTTCACTATTTCTGCATGTATTCAATTTGTCATTTAATTCGCTGAAAGGGTACATAATATAGTATTTATTGAAATTAGTTTAATGTTTAAAAACTAAATTTTAAAGTGCATCATTTTGGGTATTAATGATTATAATGGCAGTGTTGTACTTCAATTTGGCTTCTCATTCTTATTCTCTTCTTTATTGATTTTTATAGGATCTCTTATTTTCATCCTGTACAAACTGCCGTAGGTTCAGTTAATCCGCAGTTTACTGCATTATTTACGCAACTTTATGAACACCGCCATTTGCTTTGTCGAATGCTGGTTTCTTCGCACAAGACAGCATTTGCATCTGTACTTGGACAGGTATTCATGTCATTTCATTTTTTCGTAGCACTCAAATTTTGGAATTATTTACTTTTACGGAATAAGGTTTTCCGATCAGAAAGTACTGTAATGCAGAAATCGTCTATTTGAAGTATTTATTGCAGATACTGTCATCACCACACGGCATGACATCAGCTCAACAGAATCAGATAAATTTATTCATCCAAAATTTTTCGGCACAAAGTTTACCTTAATGATGTTGCTCAGTTTCTGGTTAAAGTTAGAAGTGAATAATTCATTTGTCGTTTAAAAAGATAACTTCATTTTCTTGTATCAACTTCAGTGAGGGTCTTCACGGCGATTATTTTTATTTTGTTACTTTCTTCGAACGTGTTCATGGCATATTGAAGGTATTATCGTTTTCTTTCTTAATTAAAGTGAAATTGGCGAGGTGCGTCATATGAATTCTGTTAAGTGTATATCTTGCCATCATTTTTTAAATAACAATGCACATCTATGAGGTTCCATATTCTCACTAAAGCATGTTGGTATTTTTTTATGCAGGTGATTTTTTTTACTCAAACGTATGGATATATGCTACTTAGTTATCTGGGTTAGAATGCTTAGAAGTAATGCTTTGCGCACGTTACGTAGTGCCCGAGTTAATAGTTTGTTACATTTTCATTGCACGTGTTCGCCACGACATATCTTTCTATATATATATTTTCATTTATTGACAAATTTGTTTTAAATGTTGCGTCAAGCTTCGTTATTTCACTACTTTGAAGTTTCACATCTTTCTATGTTTCCAATTTTCAAATCTTTTCTTTTTGTTAGTTTGATCATTATCAGTACATATTTTTCTGTTAGTTTGAAATTTTTGGTAAATCACAGTTCAATCTAATTTCACTCAATAATCTCCTTTTAATAATTAAATTGTTTAAAGGGAACAGAGCTTGAATATATGCTTTGTATTTGTTCAGAGACATATTCAAAGTGAAGTTAAATTATAATGCAGGATGTCAAAAATAAGTTCAAATTGGCGTTTTTTCTACATTTTAGTTTAATTAGAGATTTATTCATTCTATAAAGTGTGCGCATTGCTATGAATTTAATTTTCACGAATTTTCATAGAATATTTAACGATCTGGTCTTTAGTTTTTTGTCAAATTAATATGAAAATTTAAGGCTGTTATATGCTTACGAACTCTAAGATTTGTTCAATCCTTTAGATGTTAAGGATTTCCTCATCTGTTTGTCATCTAGTTATTTTTGTAGTTGTAAAACAACAAAGGTAGTTGGAAATATGCTCCACTAATTTTTGTGTTGTGGTGCTAACTTTTTCATTGTAATCTTCAATGTTTTTTGGAAGTAGCGCTGCAGAGTTTTATTGGTTTAATTGCAAATAAATATTTGCTGAAGTTTCTATCAAACTGTCGTATTTGATATAAATTCATATATGTGGAGGTTATATCGTTTAATAGGTGAAGTAGGTGTTTTTTGTATCTTATGTGGATGGTTTGGAGGATTCCATTTTATGATTTTTTCGCATGTGAAAGGTCGTAGTGGAAAAAAACGTAAAGGATCTTTGATTTATCAATTACAGAGTTTTTCGTGATTTTATCTGTGCGAATTGTAGGCTACATTTGTAAGGTATTAACTGAGGGTCTGCTATGCACAAGGATGGAGTTCGAGGGTGCACTAAATGTAAGCCCGAATGTATCGGACGATGAGGCTGATCTTGATTATGGTTTGTGTATTTTTTGTATCATTAGTACTTCGCTGGTGGCTTTTATCTAATAATAAACATTTAGATGACTTTTACTGTAATGGAGACAGTTCTATGGAGATGTTCGAAAGTGATGACCCTGAACACGTTGAGTATTCGTGCATGAGGGTGTCTGAGGTATGTCGAGTCCTTTTGCGCAGTAATGGGAGATGGAAAAGTATTTATTTAAGATCTGTGATCATTAATCCATGTACGTATTCAGGCCGAAAGCTTCCTAAAAGAAACTATGGATAATGTTGTTTCATCTTTAAATGTGTCTTTTGCACTCGCCAAACTTCTGCTCTACTTCTACAAATGGGATGACATTACACTGATCGAATTATATAGTGCTAATCCCAGCAAAGTCTTAGTTGGTAAATTTTATGAAATTCGTTGGTATTCCGCGTATTTTTGAATGGTTTCTTTTGGAGGAGATATTGTCTTGATGCTTTCAGTGAAGTCATGGAAACGGTGGACTTGTTCATATTTACATTTGGTAAATGCATTTGAAATTTCAGATTGTTCTGTTTTCGCTGGAACTTCTAAACATTTCGACAGTATGAGCTGTGCTGTCTGCACTAGGCTACGAAGTGAATGCTCCGAGATGTACGCGTTGGATTGCGGGCACAGTTTTTGTTCTACATGCTGGTTAAAATATATCGAAGAACAGCTCTATAATGGCGTTTCGATGACGTTATTTTTCAATCCGTTTCTTCATGAATTATAATTTGATCAATATGAAAATATATGGTAGAAATGATATTGCAGTCTTAGAATCTCTGGACTTTAAGTATCGCTTTCTTCGGCTGTGATAAGGAAAAAATTATAAAGATAATAGAGTCCTTTTTAGAATTGGTTGCATGGAAACTGGGTGTTCGATATTGTGTTCAGAAGATTTCGTGTTGGAAATACTGAAGGACCAACCGGATATCAGAGAAAAATATAAGAGATTGATATTTAAGAGCTGTGTTGAATCACATTCGCAGTTGCGATTCTGTCCAGCTGCTGAATGTTATACAGTTATTAAGGCTGAATGTCAGAAAGCGAAGAAGGTAACTTGCACAAATTGCGGAACTTCTTTTTGGTATGTTTAATTTTCTCATACAACATCTATGTTAGCTTGTGACCTCATGACAATGGTAATTTGAGAGCACTCACCTTATGCCAATTCCAGATTTGATGTCATACTGATTTATGTTTGTTATTAGTTTTGCTGAATTTTCTTTATTCATTTTCCTACATTTCATTGTCAGGAGCAACTTCAAAGACTTGAGCTAATCTTCAGTTATATTTTTTTTAAAGGTGTGTTTTGTAGCTTTCAGTGCGGTTGTGATTACCACGCTCCCACTTCATGTGAAACAATAAGGAAGTGGTTAACTAAATGTGCTGATGACAGTGAGACGGCTAATTACATAAGGTTAAAACCATATCATTTCTTTTTATCTATCAGTAATTAGGCATAATAGATTTTTTACTCATACAAATATAGATTTTATTTCGAAAAATTTTCCTTGGAATGACAAATACTGATAAGTCGTGATCATGATTATTCGATACATAATTATATCAGTCAGTTTATTGTTTTTCACAGCCAGGTACATAATTGTATGATTTAGTGCACATACGAAGGATTGTCCCAATTGTCATTCCTGCATTGAGAAAAACGGTGGATGTAATCATATGCAGTGTGCTAAGTGCAAACACCATTTCTGTTGGATGTGTTTTGGAGGTGTTATTGTTCTATTCAAATCGATCCATTTGTAAAAAAAAGTGCTCCGTATAATATGAAACATGACTTTTCACGTTTTTAATTGTGCAGACAACAAATTATCAATCGTTAAAAGTCTTAATTGGAGTATTTACTTAACTTAATCTCATAAGCAAATCACATTCCAGCAAGACGTTGAATTTGTAGGTGATATTAGATTTCCTAACATCATCACTTCAGATAGGAAATAGCTCAAACTTTTTAGATTTTTTTTAATAGATTGGAAAACACACGGGAGTGAATACTATGAATGTAGTCGCTACAAGGAGAACCCATCCATAGCTCAAGAAGCGGCAAATCACCTCAAGGCTCGCCGTGCGCTCGAAAAGTATCTCCATTATTATGGTTTGTTTTTTCATTTATTTCACTGCATTATGAAGACTTTCTATATACTGGATGAATTTGGGGTATATTATGTTCACAAAAGTTAATGGTTGAAGTCAGAACCAGTGCACTGATACAAGGATCCTGAAAATTATTTTTTAGAGCGTTACGAGAACCATCATAAGTCGTTGAAGCTAGAAGAAGATTTACAAAAATGTATCATGAAAAAGATTGACGAAAAAGTTAGCGGGCATGAAGGAACTTGGATTGATTGGCAATATTTGCATGCAGCAGCTAAACTGCTCACAAAATGCCGCTATACGTTACAGTATACTTATCCCTATGCGTATTATATGGAAAATGGACCAAGAAAAGAACTTGTATGATTTTCGGAATTCAAAAGGAGAAATAAGCTAAATTTTTAATTCAAATGAAACATTGAAAGGCTCTTACATATATGGAAGTATATTTTGCTATTATTCAACATCATTACATTAATTGGTAATTGTTAAATGTCTCACATTTGAGTACAGTCTATCAGTTATGATTTCTTCGAAGTGTTTCCTTTACTATTATGATCAGTTTGGGAAAACATCCGATTATCGAACGTGGAAACATGAAATATACAAGTTTTTAAAATCTTTGAAATTGTTTTAATATTTGTTTAGTTTGAATACCAACAAGCACAACTTGAGAAGGAAATTGAAGAATTATCATGGAAGGTTGAAAGAGCTGAGAGTACGGAACGAGGTGATTTGGAAACACAGATGCATGTTGCAGAGTTTAAACGACGCACTCTCTTACTAGATTTCTTCGACTGATTCTATCACACATTTGCATCTACCAATGCATTCGAGCGTTGCGTCGCCCGATTTGTACGATATTAGTGATTTTTGACTGAAGTTTGCCACAACTGCTAGTATGCCTTTGATCGCTTTAATGCTCAGAACTTTGAGACTAATGATCACGATCACTTATTATTTACATTTATTTACTAATTTTGATGTCCATGTAGTTTGACAAACTGCATTGACAGATGATTTTTAGAGTTCAGATAGTTACATATAATTGACCAAGTGTTTGTTTATATAGACTCATTCTTTTTTGATGTGATTAGACTGGAATATTCTGTTCTTTAGGTTTTTTTCTCACATCATTCTTGTTTTATATTACTACAATATAATACTTATTAAAATCTGCATGTAAAGATTTGTTCCGTTTTCCTTGAGTAACTTCCAGTGTGCGAGTTTCTGATATCTGGGGACAAATTATCAATAACATGTAATATTTATTAACTGAGTAATTTTTTTGCTAAGATGGTCCATCACTTATGAAGACATTTTTGGGACTTTCACTATGCACGTGATTGATCATTGGCTCTCTAGAGACCAGAAATCATGGTTCCGTGAGTTCTTAGAGTTTCTTGTATAATCTATTTGTGGTTATCTCTATACAAATTGATTAGTACTGGTTGTCTAATTGACATATATACCGCCCTAATTCATTTTTTAACGATAAACTTGTCTGGCATATAAATATGACAGAGTAGTACAAATAGGACAAGGGTGTCAGTTTATTGTGGGGATGAGGATGGAAGTCACCATGTAACTTGTATGCGTAGCATTCACTCTAAATACTGGTTCGATGAGGGCGACAAGAGTAGTTTAAGGTGTGGGAGTAAGTGCAAGTGATCTGGTTTGAAAGTTTATTGTACGGTGAGATAAGCAGCAATAAGTGACGTTGCTTATCTGATATTTGGGTTGTAAGTGGCCGGGAAATAAGTGGTACATAAATCTAACTCTATTATGTTTTGATCTGGAAATTTTTTGTTGAAGTGATGCCACAAACAGGAGATGGAACAAAATTACTGGTTAACTATTTGTTGCTCGCAGACTCCTAATAGAATTACGTAACGTACTTTTCTCAGAAAAAGTTAATGTGGTGAACACGTTACTGTACATTGTATTCCAGGAACGCTAAAATTATCGAAACCACAAGTGAGAAGCATGTGTAGTAGGCTAGTTTATTTAGCTCATGGTCAAATGACAGAATGGTCTTTTCGGACAAATAGGTAAAGTACTAGAAGGCAATAAATTGTATTATACAAAGTTTCTTCAGTAGCGCTGCTCAATAGGCTAGACTCAGGAGTTGCTGGTTGAGACTTAATTACACATATTACGGGATGGAAATTTTACTAGGATTTGGAACATTACAAGGTTACAGGGACAGTCACCTTAATTCCTTATTGCTGAAAGGAGGCGTTCACAAACACCACTAACAAATAACATCTATTGGCAGTTTCTTAGTTGATATTTTGGTAAAAGTGCTGAAGTGGGGAAAATACGAATAGAGAGACAGATGTGTGACACTATAATAATTACCTGGAAATTATGCACTCATGATGGCATGAATGAGTGGTTGTGACAATGGAGAATTGTCCTCCACGAATGTCAATTTTCTAAAGTTTCGTTTATTACGGCAATATTTATGCACATGAATGGGTATATATCATTTCATTCTCTGTAAAATGAGGAAAGGAAGCGACCAAGGCCAGGAGATAGATAGGTTGTGGGAAGCTTCTTCAACTTTCTCATCTCAGCAGGTAGGCATCGTGACTTCGTGGTGAATATAAGTAACATGGAGGAGTGGCCTACTTACATGCTCTTCCATTTCCCTCACGTACTCGCGCATATTGATTGCTACCTTGTCCATGACTTTGCGTGCATAAATGAGTGCAGAATTTATTTCAGAGTGTAACTAGAGCGTTGCGCGGGACATTTTTATAGTAAGAAAGTACTGAGATTCTTTGCTCCTTGTATATAAGTGATTACAAGTAGCATATACTATAACTTGTGGTGCAAAAGGAATCTTGGTTCGTCACCAATGATTAGCTGTATTTTAGAGCTTACAACAGCTTGTAAAGACTACCTAACTCTTTATGTGCTACTCAAACAGCATACTTATCCCGCAATCGCGGCATGTCGTTTCTCCAGAGAATCGCTAAATTATAACGTAAGATGTGACTTTTGCTCACAGATATAACAAGGACAGTTTCGTAATTTAGACAGCTTCTACAGTCATCGATGGTTGAGCAAATAAAACCGAGTTCACATGGACCTATTACCATGTACTTGAGGTATATGACAATAATATAGCTGCTTGTGAATACGAACAAGATATGGCATGTCAAGCTAGTTCTTTTTTCTTGTGACCAGGTATTAAGCACGCTGCTTGCAAGAGATAACTGGGGGGGAAGAGCAGATATGGTGAATATATATAAATACCTCAGATAAGTCTGCAGAATCTTCAAGGACACTGCACAAGATTGAAATTAATTACCTCACAGTGTGCTGTGTACATGCTACAGCTACTTAACACACAAGTTGATGGTCGAGGTTAGTGTGTGCAGTTATGTGTATGTTTATGAGTGTGCATGTCTGTCTGTGCCATATGTAATGCGCGCAAACCTACACATGCTGCTCTCTATATGCTTATGGAGTTAGTGCCTTTGCTTTCGGCTTCTTCCTGATTAGGTCTGCACACTAAACTGCTGCTTCACAGAAGAGAGTGTGCGAGTAGATGCTGCGCGGCTTTATGGCGTACATGTGTCGCATCATTTCTATCTCCACTCACTGTGCTATTTCTTCTACTTTACGTGTCTCCATAGCATGCAGCTGACTCATAACTAAATCAAAGCTCTTTTCATTTCGGATATGTATGCATGTATGGCAGAAAATGGCATAAGACAGGTGTGCAAGTTAATGTGACGGCATGATGCAGTAGAAGGAGGGTGAATGGGCTGGCAGGATTCAGGTGTTAGTTGCTACTCGTGGCATTATTGGGAGAAAAGAAGGGCGTATGTATGTGGTAATGGTAATGGGACAGACTCAATTGTTCAGTGCAGGTACGCCTGGACGAGGTACAGTGCGCAACTGCTATGAGCGACAGGCAAGGTCGAGGAGGCAAGGCAAGCTTTGGTGCACTGCACAACTCTCCCTCAATGGCCTCCTAACTCCCCCTCAGATGCGGTCGATACCATGCAGTGCGCCTCTTATCTGATCAGCTGCTATAGCCTTTACTACGTGCTTTCCTTATCACCAGTTTATATCACTTCTTCCAGCTCATTTACGCTTGCCATTCTTTGTCCTCCTTATTGCGTAAATATTGCAGATTCCTTTTTGAATCTTTTGTCGATTTTTACTGTAATATGATTCCAAAAGAAATCATTGGATGGATGATTCATGAACAAATAGCTGACACATACTCAATGGCACTAGATGAATTCACGGTTGTACTTATATCCGTGTATTCGCCAGTTCCATAGAGTTGTGCGAGTGCTTATCGTCCATATGCAAATTTAGTTCCATCTTCTTACCCACTTTACATCCCTCGCAGACTATATGTTGTCCAATTCAAAACCCGCTAAGTCGCATAAACTTGGTCTTCACTGCAAATCTGCTTTATGACATCAGCGTACAAATCGCAAAGTTACTGGTATGATTTTCTCTATTTTATTTATAGGTTAAATCGTGTCTTAGCGCTAAATTCTGCTTCTAGTTAGTTGTGAATTTCGATAGATGTTGTTTCATTCCTCGCAGTCCGATGCATGCTTCTTAAAAGTGTGGTTTCAGATAAAAATAGGAAACATCATGTATCTTTCGTAAAGGCCGACATACAGTTTTCACATTCTCTCCAAGACCAACCACTCTATTATTTTTACCCAGAAGTTATCACATTGTGAAGATAGCATTGTATACTTTTCTCTGCTCTAAAATTAGTTTCAAAAATTAGTTAAAAATGGATATCAAATCCATTTTCTTTTTCCTTGATTTTTATAATGAAAATTCCTTCTGAATGGCAATAATGTTGTCGTTCGTCATATTTGCAACTTATGTACAGTTCGAAAATCATTACTTATTGAGTTTGTACTTATCTGTCACCTCAAAGCATTCAGCTAATGGTGTAATTCTAGTACTGGTCAAAGTTTACGTTGTTGCTGTTCAGAAACGAACTCCTTCAGTTTACAGCTCAAATAATTATAATCATACTGAACAAAATTGCTCAAGTATTGAGAACGCTGAAAGTTTGTTTGATCATCGCACACAAAAGAACGAAACTCTTTAGCAATGCGTTGCAATTTTCTTCATTCAGTCGTTCCTGCAGTGTAATCTAAATTGGCTTTGGTTATAAGCCATCAATAATATAATATATTTGACTGTTTCAAAAAGTCAAAAATATATTATGAGAATTTTTGGACGAAGAAACGTAAAAAACTACTGTATCAATACTGGCTCATAAATTTACTTTAAATATATACCAGTTTACCAGTAATATTAGCTACCATGTTCAAGTGAGTAATCTTAACAACAAAAATAAATGACTTCCAAAATTTCAGAAGTGACTCGAAATAGAACTCGAAACGACTGGTGCATTTTAAACTCATGCAATAAGCAACAGTATTTGGCAGGTTAATAAGAATTAGGTTCCCGAGCAGGGAACTGTTTAGATTGCAAAGGATTAATCTTTGTAGTCGAGTTTTCTGTACTGCTTCCTTGATTATTTATATATCCCATTTTTTCTTCGATAATGAAGGCGACTGGAGCAAATAATCATACATTCCCTAGCAAATAGCACACGATAAGCAATAAGAGGAAAACCTTTGCTTTCCACTAATTTACTATTTTCAACCCCTTCGATGCTCATCTTACATTTGCATGCATGGAATGAGAAAAATGCTCGCGAAATATTCATTGTGTAAGAATTTTTGTTCATATATACTCACGGAGATGGATTTCTTTCTAAATTTATATTTAATTTTCGGTTTAAATTAGACAGGACAGTACAAGAGTCATTTCTCATTTTCGGTTCGCATTTATACTAGATCCAATTATTTCGAAATCACTGAATCTAGGCCATAAAAAACAACCAACAGTGGTTTGCAAATGGTTACTTTTATCTTGACAATAATACCCTGACTCTCATCCTATTTAAAAAGTGTTTGCAGTTCGAATCCTTTCAGAAATTCGAAAAAAATCTGGCTGTTGTTCTCTTAATCGCCGAAATGGTTACAACAATATATCATCAAATATTCGCACCACTGTGTGTTCGTTTGTCATACAAAAACCTATTACGGTCAATATCTCCATAGTGCAGGAGAAAGATTGTCACAGACGTTGAAAGTAAGTTGCAGACTTCACTATTACGTCACAATATTTTTGACAGCGTTACGACACGTTATCGCAAAAAATAATTTATCCAATTTCTTCTTTACATATCTAATCTCTGTTTGCGAAAAAAAAGCACACTTACACGTACAAAATGTACATCTATCCAGCATGTTTCAGTTTCAAGTATTCATGGAAATACTAAGCAGTAGCAGAAGAATTTTCGTTTAACTGAATTTAGCTCGGCTGGCTATACAGCTACGTAAGAACACATCGTAGTATCTCGAATGTGTCATTTATTTGGACGGACGTGTCATCAATATCTAAGCCGAAAAGTAGAGCGGGGGTCAACTCCCATTTAAATATGGTGTTTGCAGTTTCTAACTGCAGATATCAGAGAAATCAAAAGTGCGTACAAAAAAGACTGGCGATGAGTCACTGATTCAGCTGTGTTACGCTGCTTCCTTGATTTCGTTTGTAAATGAGTTTCATTTGTTACAATCAAAATAAATTTTGCAGTTGTCGATGAATTAGAATGCTCCTCTAGCGCGTGACAGTTGTTGATTTCTTTTACGTCATTATTCATCTCCAAAATTTGACATATACTAACAGCTGTTTTCTCTCGCATGACATCAATACAGCGACTTTCAATGCCAGATTTGGTGTACACTTTTTGCACAGAACTGACTCAACATAAGACATATGTGAAATATGCTTTAAAACGAAATAACAGAGATAGTTATCAAATTATATATAAGCTATGATAATTGTTTACCAGTTCTTGACTGAATAAACAAAGGAAACACATGGGAAAAGTGATCAAATACAACTATATTAGATATCATCACTACGACTGTTATTTAAGTTACCCAAGAACAAATTTAAGCAGTAAATTACATATGAGCGCCAGATGGGTTTCTAGAAGTCTGTCAGTAATAATATGCTTTATGGGAGAAATGAATTTTCTCTCAAAAATCATTTTTCATTTTCGGTTCGCAGCTAGACAGTGGTAATGTTGAAGCCATAAAATTTATTCAGTTTTCTCCGAGAAATTTGATCTCAAAACTCTCAGGACATCTTCCAGTCCAGACAATAAAATTAATACTTCCCTCAAATTTCTGACACGTTATAAGAAGAGTTATGGTGCATACGAGTCAATAGTAAAAGGTTTTATTGTTTTGCGGTACGAAAAAGGAAGAGTAATTCCACGATCTGTAGCAAACTTACATATGTAGTGACCTCAGTGGTACTGCTGACTCTTAATAAAATAATATTGGTGCAATATGAGTCAAGGGATAATGTTTGGTAACACAAAATACTATGATGAAACAATTTGTTTGCTTACACTTCGCATCGATTTGTTTGTTACCAATATCTTCCTAACCACATTTTAGCAGTGTCCCAAGAGAAAAGACGAGAAAAGATAGTAGAACTGCTCTCTTTATGTGCAATTTGGAAATGCATCAAACAAAAGTGTATTTATCCATAGATCAATAATATTTTGCTATCTACCTACTAATCAGATGTGGTACAAATAATCGTTAGTATTTGTAACAAAAACATATAAGTGATAGGTATGAAGATTTGCTTCAGTGGTAGTAGTACAAGATGAAGTAAGAAATGAGATTATTAGTACCATATGTAGTGCGCTACCAAACAGTCATAACTGAGTAAAGTATGCACGAAGAGTACCTCATAGCATAGAGAAGCAGTAACAACACAATGACCTATCTCATAGTTTTTCAGAACAATCAGCTTTGTATTACCGAAGTTTCAGAATTTGAGACTGTCTGCATTGATAAGTGTATGTAGCAGTGCACACTGCAACACAATTACAGTAAGTAGTTCTATTCAAGCACTGATTATTTGCTGTCTGTATCGTGGGATGATGGTATTGTAAATGAATTATAGTCAGTAAATTCAGAGTAGCATATGGCGATTGCAAACGTCGAAGACAGAAATGTTACTTTCATTTACACTTTACACTTTAAAAAGTTTAAGCTTGAGAAAAAGCAAAGATTATACAAATGAAGTTGATAACACGAAACTGAGTACTCCTGAGCTTGTTTTATAACTTAGAGAGAACACACTGTGAAGCGGTAAACTGCTGCAAAGTGATTTCCGTACCTAAGTAATCTGTATAATTTGTGCGAAGTGAAGGAGTAAAGATGGGGAATGGAAGAGCTGGTAGATTAGATAAGTAAGACAAACTAATATTAAGTGCATATTCAGTTTATCAAAGTTTGATTGCTTACTTCAACAGAGGGACAGTGCAAGAATTTTGTACTGTAATAGCTTACCATTTCAAAATTAAGTCAATCGGTCATTCTGGCAAAAGCCGCACAGTAATAACAATAACGTTTTCCGTTCATGAGCCATAAGTGTCTTTTAATCACTTTGGTCATTACAATCGATCAGTATTCAGTCGTTTTTTGCCTTTGAATGTTCATGTAATTCCTTATACTTAGCATTTAAGTTTTCAACTCTCCGAACTACTACAAATAAATCAAATGAAGTTAGATTTCAAAGTAAGTCAATCCTACAGATTACAAGAATAGCTAGACGAGTAAGGTGATGGGTTTCTGGAGGTGAAGAAAGAATGGAAGAGTTATCACCCATATTTCAATGTTTGCAGGAATCAAAAACTTTTATCATCTGTAAGGTATACATGTTGCTTACACCATATTCCTTTCTTAGTGGTGTAATTCATATCGATTATTGCAGTTATGATTTTGCTTGGCAGTTTTTTAATTTGAATTGTAAAACTGAGTGCAGTACAGTTTAAGAAAGAGTTGCTCAGAAGTTTGCATTAATTTACTTCGTGAAGACTGAATGCACTTGCTTTTAAGTCCTTCTTCTTTTCTTTCTTGTATGTTTGCTTATTTCCAGCTTGACCAGTACATGTTCTCGCGTTCTCTTTGTCTGGACAATTTATCTTGCATAACTTTGCATCCTTTTCTCTCTTATTCGGAATGCAAAGTGAAAAATATGCAAGTCAATGACGAATATTTAGTTAATGTGCATTATTGCAGAAACACTGATATTGGCACTTGATAACAGCACCATGGTGCAGGTGGTAGTCTTCTCTTTGTAAGCTTTCCAAACCAAAAATATGCCTAGTGAAGTCGATTGTCGCCGTGGTGCTCATGTCAATCCTGATATATTCAAGCTCGAAAATAAACCTAGGGTTCATTTTATTATTGATCTTAGTTTTTTCTCAAAAATTATGTACATTTAGCAAAGTAATAGATACTAATGAAAATGAGCAATTAATGTTAAGTTGTATAGTTCTGGAGAAAAAATATGATTGCATACAAATGCTCGGGCACCAGTATCCCTAGGAAGTGTATTGATTGCTTTTGACAGTTATTGTGTATCAGTATCTGTTATATTTCTAAAGTTTCAGCGCTAATTTTTTTTTTCTAGCGAAAACAGTGATTTTGTCATGATAAAAATTACCAGATTTCCGAAAATTAGTTTATAATTTTAATATTTAATAGTTGAGATTTTCAAGTCGCGAAATACTACAGTCACTCATTACAAAGTTGCTTTCAGAATATTTTATGTCATGAAATTGGTGCAGGTTCTCGTTGTTTAAAGTGTGATTGTCCAGGCCTCGATTTACATTATTGGAGGTATTTTTGCATTTATTGAATTCTGTTGAATACAATCCAAAATCAAATTACACTTTTCATTTAAATGTTCAAGTAAGACTGTACCACACATCTTCTTGCAGGAAAATGTGTAAAATATGTTCTTGTAGAATGGATGATCACGATGTAATATTACCTCGAAATATGGATCATGGTCAGATAGTTATAGGTGAATTAACTCTTCATTTTCTAACATAATTGTTTACATATAGCTAGCTGTTACTGTGAATTTACTTACTATATGTGTTTTTAGCTTTTTAGATTTTGTTGCGTTATTTAACGAAATCAAGTTACTTTATTGAATACAATTCAAAATCAAAAGTCCATGTAATATTTGTGATTTTTATTCTTGATTCTAGTTTACAACATTACTAATTCAGATTTAGTTTTCTTGTACATCAGGGCCATGTTATTTGTAAAATTTTGTTCCAGGTCGCTTATTTGATTTTATACCGCACTTTGAAAGTAAATTACGTTTGACTTCTCCTGTAAGTTTAAAGCAGTCATGCTCTGTTTCTCACAATATGTCGGAGGTCTGTTATCTTCAGTACAAATTATTTGCGAATTATTGTTTGGGAGTAGTTATATTTAAAGAAATATTCATTCTTTCTCCTAATTTTCAGCAAAAAAAACTGGAGTCGCTATACAATGTTAAACTTGAAAATCCAGGAGAAAAAAACATGATGTCAGAATATACATGGGTCCCAACTACTGACAAAGTACTGACGGAAAAATACTTCAATGCTCTTCCAGAGAGTGAACGTCCAATTGCCAACACAGAAGGAGCCCTTGATCGACGTCAAAAATTGCAATATCAGGTTAAAAATAGTAGGATAACAAATTCTTATTTTTTTCTAAATTTTGTGTTTCAAGAATCTTTCATTTTTTTTGTTGAGATTTTTTAGCTTTCTAAACAAGCTAAAATTTCAAAAATTTTCTGGTTCTATTTTGTTTATTAACAGGATTATCTTACTTTTAAAACTTTCATTTAATATTTTTTGCACTGATCTTCAAATTTTAATGCATTTGTTTATAGCTACCTCATCATGATTCGGATGCATCTGCTGCAAAATCCTTAAAAACCGAGCTTGACAAAAAAGAGCACGCAAACTACGTGATGACCGTTAAGGAAAAAGTCCTCTTTACTGTTTTATTTATCTTTCATTTTTACTTCTTTTTATGTTCATTTATTTAAAATTGTTTTCTTATTTTGCTTTTTTCAAAATTTTTCGATATTACTGAAAAATTACTTTGATGTATTAGATTGTCGGCGTTGGAAGGCTAATTCAGTTCTCAGAGACAGATACATCATATAACTATAACGAAGCTGCAGCATCTAGATCTATTGAAACTGGCAGTGACAGTCCGCATTACAGTATCGGGGTTAGAAAGAGCTTCTTTATTGTATCTTATAAAGTAAAATTTCTTTATCTTCAAAGTAAAGTCTGGTCTTTAATTTCTTAGGATTAATCTTGAGGTTTTAAAATGCATCATAACTTTTAGAAAACGTTTTTTCATCATTATTCATAAAGCAGTTTCAGGAGTGCCAGTTTTGTCATAAGAATCTGAAAGTAGGAGAAGTTGCTGTCGTGACAGAACATGGACTATCAGATGTCAGTTTTCAACGACTTTTTTAATGAATGATTAGTAAGAATATTTGTCATAATTTTCGTAAATTCTATATATTATAGGAAATGTGGCATGTAAACTGTTTCAAGTGTCATATATGCAGTCAGAGGCTCGTTGATCTTCTGTATTTTTATAAAAATGGTATCTATTACTGTGGTCGTCATTTTGGAGATTCTGTTTATCCACGATGTTCAGGTTGTGATGAGGTAATGCTTTTGTCTTGCACTCTTATTAATAAGTCATATTTTTAAAGAAAATATTTAGGATCAACATTTTTGAATCCAAATTTATCTGAGGAATGTAAACAGGATTAAATAAAAGTTTACTTTTAACTATTAAAGGTCTTAGAAACAATTATTTAAAATTTCATATTGTATTTGTTAGTATTTGGAATAATATTATATTTAGCTCATTTTCTCAAAAGAGTATACCTTTGCTGAAGAGAAAAGTTGGCACTTGGATCATTTTTGCTGTTTTGGATGTGATATGCAGTTGGGTGGTCATCGGTATATGATGAAAGATGAGCAGCCATTTTGCTTCGCTTGTTATATGAAAAGATATGCAAAAGTAAGCTCTTATTATTGTCAGCTGATTATTTGTAAATTTTTTAGACCAGAAACTACTGATTACAGTTTTATTTGTTAAAATAACTGTTGTTTATTTAAAATATTTTCTTCACAATTTATACATCATACTTCAGACTTGTCATTTTTGCAATATCAAAATAGCTCCTGATCAACAGCGAATCTCCTTCAAAAATTTGCATTGGCATGCTGGTGACCGATGTTTTCGGTGAGTAATCACTTTTATTGTTAAAAGTATTGAGTTAAAACAATCAATTAGGCTATTATTAGAAGTTTTAATTGTTTGTGCTCTCTAGATAAACTACATAATGAATGCATTTGCCTGTTGCAATAAGAGAAATAAAATGCACTTATCATGAAGGAAATAATTCGGTTTTAAAATATTGAAAAGTAGCTTTCCTGAGTGAAAAAATTGTTGATTGTTATATCAGATTATAGATAAGTTATTTTTAGGTGCAAAAAGTGTGGCAAAGTACTGTTGAATCAAAAGTTTATCGTTAAAAATGAAGAAGTTTTTTGTAGCTCAGAGTGCAAAAAGAATTATGCGGGTTAAATGCGAAAAATGCACCTTATCTTTTGTCTGGAACAGTGTTTTTTGCTATATCATTAGGAAGTGCCGTTATTACTTCCTCTTCAGAGTTTGCAACTTTGATTTATTCAGCGTTGACCATGTTTTCATGTACTTTATATAGGTTTTTTTGTTTATTTACGCAAAATATCATGAATGCTTTCTCTCAAAAAATTTTCAATAGACATCCCAGCTTACAGAATCAGCTTGATTTTTAGTTGCTTGTTAAATAAAGATAATCAATTATGACTGTAGTTACGAAAAAGTATTTATTGAGATGAATGCTTTTTTAAAACTTTTTCATTTGATATATTACGAGTATTATTTGAAGTGCGTTGTGTATTGGGCTGCTTGGAAAAGCGATTATTATGCAGATGAGACAACAACCAGTTTTGTCGAGTTTTATGGCTGCACGTGTGTAATTGCCAATTTGTATATGAATCTACTGTCATATTGCTGTATTTCATTTCCACTTTAATGTTTGTTGCTTTTTTTAGTTCACTTATATTTTATAATCTCAAGGTAAACTTAATTGTTGATTATTTATTTTATGATTTGCTGTTCGCTTTTTACTAGTGGAAGTAAAAGAACATTTCATTCTATTCTCTATGTTTACATAACAGTTTGTAATAAAAGTGTAATATATTTGGATGTGGATTTCGATAATTTATTATAAGTAAATCCCTGTAATGACATTGCTTAGTTTCTATTCAATGTACATTTAGATACGTAAGTACGTGATCTCATTATCGATCGTGATCTGCCTAAACTTACATGATGTGAAGAATTGAGAATGTAAGAGCTCAAGCAAGGTTCAAAATCTATGTTTGGTCGGCAGTATTGCATTTTTAAATTGCTCATTTGGATTTTGAGCGAAATTGCAAACTATCCTCACCATGTCTTATCTCCACAAGGACATAGCGTCTATTATTTTTTGAATTAGAATGAGACTTAGATTAACAGATATGAAATTGCGGGATATGGGGAAAAATCTTTTAGAATATTTCACATAATCTCAATATTAATTTTGATCTCACTTAGAGCTTTACCTGAGTCGTATGCTGAATGCATGTTTACCATATCCAACAGTTTCAGGCTTGATGCAGAAATTCAGCTTCAAGCTATAATGGATTTGAAATCGTTTATAGCTTTTAAGGAGGGTGACTCTGGTGAAGGATATGGCTGGCTATGTCACAGAATTGTTGCGCTATTAAATTTATTAAAACTGTCTGTTTATAGTAATGGCAATGCCAGTTCAAGAGGCACTCGTTCACGAAACTTGAACAATCTTTCTGCTTTATATATTAAGTTTTCTCTATTCCTATCATAAATTTCAGATAAGTCAGCTAGCAAGAAAGGTGACAGGATGTCACCTGGGACTAATGAGCATCATAGTGGAGAGAAATTCTTTCCTGTAAGTTTAATCCATAATTTTGTTAACTTCAGAAATATGCATTTCGCTTTTGGCTTTGCAAAAAGTCTGAAATGAAATGTTTTTCAGTGTGGATTCTTATTAATTATTAGTAATGAGTTTTAAAGAGGAATTTAGTGTCCATTTAAGAGAAAAGTTGCTTTGATAAGAGAGCATGCGGATTATTCGACTAATATCTTACGATTGAGTACCTTGGTGTGGTTAACTGTACAAAATTCAATTCATGTCATACTTCTTCGATACTCGAGAGCTCGACACGTGGAAAAAGTCTTTCTTTCATCAGTTGCTGTATTCCTTACTGAAATTTTCAAATTAATCATTTGTATGGTACTGATCACTAAAAAAGAACAGAGTTTACGCAGGTTAATTGAATTATTCTATATCACGATAATAGTCCCGTTGCTCGTATCAGTTTAATATCATGAAAGTATTAGTAATGTGGATCTCATGATGTACAACTGCAGTTTTTGACTGTTTCTTCTTATTCTTTCTTGCTCCAAAATTGAAAGATTGTATCAATTTTATAATTTGAAGAATAGTTTTCAGGATGTTGCATCTTATAAAACGACAGGTACTCGATAATCCAAAGGATACGATCAAAGTCTGTATTCCTGCAGTGATATATACAATACAAAATAATCTCTTTTACTTGGCGGCTTCGCATCTAGAAGCAGCAACATTTATGGTTTACTTTTCGTGAGTTTTTTAGTTTTATGTAAAACCATAATCGTTGCAATTTTTCAGGTAACTGCGCAGTTCAAAATTTTCACAACTGCAATATTCACAGTATTCTTATTAAAAAGAGCTATCACTAAAAAGCAGTGGTTAGCTCTTGGTGTGCTTTTTGTCGGTGTATGCTTAGTTCAATTGAAACAGTATGACGAAAAGCAAGTGAAATCTGAAATTCCTTTTTTAGGTGGGGCAGAGTTTGATAATTCTATTTTCCTTTTGTGATAGTACCCGAAAAAAGTTCTATAATTATATAATTTGCGAAGTAAGCAGATCAAATTCATATGATGCCATCTTTACTTCCTAGTTTCTAAGTTACTTTGTTTTTAAAATAACAAAGTATCAGTAATACAACTGTTTCTTTGCATACGTATCCCAAAAATTTTCCACATACAAGAAGTTGTATTTAATGTTTTAAAAACTGGTTCTTTGGTTTTTCCAGGTTTCATAGCTGCAGCTGTTGCTTGCATTCTTTCCGGTTTTGCTGGAATATATTTTGAAAAAATATTAAAATCTAATGCACCCATCTCTATATGGATGCGTAATGTACAAATGGGAGTATTTGGAGTACCATCAAGTCTCATCGCTTCAATTTTGAAGGTAATTAAATGTCGAGATATATAAAAAGGTCAATATTATATTTAAATTTTGAGATAAATTATTGCGTGATGTTGCCATTGTAGTCATGACTGTAAAACTTTCTTAAATTGCTAGCTACTTTTTTGTATGGGACGTCTTTTTAAGCGGATTATGGTTGTCGAAAAGCCTTTTATGCTTGCGTGATCTTCTTTTTCCTTCTGGTGAATTATGTAACGGAGCGTCGACAACTTATCTTCTGATTTATTTAAACATAGTTTTCAGATATACTCAAGTATTGTGTTAATATCTTCTTGCTCCCAGCAGAAGCACAACTCTTGGACCAAAAATTACGTGTAAAAAAGTATTTTAGGATCACAAAATAATTTTCAAAGATGGTTTTTTCTACGGATTCGATATGCTAGTTTGGATAGTTGTTCTGTGGTACTGCATCGGTGGTTTGTCTGTAGCAGTATGTATCAAATATGCTGACAATATAGCAAAAAATTTTGCTACATCCGTTGCTATAATTATTAATACAGTAGCATCTATATACATTTTCGATTTCACTCCAAATTTACCTTTTTTAGTGGGAGCTGTAATGGTCATCATTAGCATCTTCCTATATTCTTCTTCAAAATCTGTTGGTTGAATAACATGAAAAAGAGATATTTGTACCCTTGTTGTTCGAACTTTTTCAACTTCATGATCATGATCACTCTTTCATGTAGCACAAAAGTCAACTTTTCTTCAGTATTTGTCGTAACTCACTAGAAAGCAAGGTCTAAAAATGTCACTTCGCTGAATTACTTTCATATATTCTCTGATATCTTTGTGGTCTTCTCGTTTAAAACTTTTAACATATTTTTTAAACTCGTATTTTAACATTTCACACCAATTTCTAGCGTCTCATTTCTCACTTCACGCTAGCCTTAACAAAAGTGATAATGAACTGCAGAGTAGCTTTCATAGTATTACTCATTCTTCTTCTGCCACCGCATGTTAACACTTTTGGGATAGCTCATTAATTCAGTCTTCTAAAGAGTCTTGCATAGTCTTTACATGTGCTTTCAAGCATTTTTTAACCTTACTAAGCGTAATCTATCATGTTTATAATCATTTTATCCATTATTAACTGATTCTATATATACAGTTACATTTTTTGCGCTACTTTCGGGACATTTACTCATGTCTTTATCCTTCATTGTTTTCATGTAAATTTTTGTGATATAAACGAAAAAACACACTTCTTGTGATCACTCAAGATTTTCAAGAACATAGAGTGCTGTGTGCAGATGACGTAATGATTGTCTCGACATACTGACTCAAACGTCATCCATCATTACACACTTAAAATACTCATTTGTAAGTAAAAATGAGTAACGACTGTAAGGAAGTTTTGCTTTAACTACGTGTTCTCTCATTACCTTTTGCCTATAAGGTGATTTAGATGCAGAAATTAGATGAGTGAATGACTAGTCATTGTGAGAAATGAAAAGTCTTCGCAAGAGATTGCAGGTTTTCAAGATGGCTCAGACGAGTCAGTGTGAAACACGGTAATATTGTTACTCGGTCGCATGATAAAGGTAGTACGTACAAGTAGCCCTGTAATTGAATTGATTTGTAGTAGTGCACTTTTGATCTGAAATGACAGTAGGTAAAGTGTAAGTTTAAAGTTAAAGATATAAGTATTATTTATTATTCATTTAATATTTAACGTTTTTTGGTGTTGGACTGAATTTGGTTTTTTTCCATTTGCCTCTACTGCATTAGCAATTGTAGTTGTATCTCAAATACCTCTTGTTTATGCTATTCTCAGTATTGCAATACAACTGGGATGCATGGATTTGATCAGGAAATTTTCTAATACTTGATATTCCGACGATATGTAGGAAGAAACGTGTTAGTTATACGTTACTTGTGCCTCACTTGTCAGAAATTATTACAATCATTATGTGTACAGCGTCACTTTCTTCATTCCTTTCAATATTTGCCTCTATCACTTTTTAACTTCAGATTTATATCAATGTCAAGTCGTCAAGGTGGCAAAGTAAAACCTTTGAAAAAACCCAAAAAAGAGCAAAGGGAACTGACTGAGGTTACTTTTCCAAATTTTAAATAAATAAATTGTAAGCTTTTCTGTGGAGCAATAAATCTTCCTTGACATGCAGTAATTTGTTCTCGTGAAGAAAATGTTTCGTTAGGTCTTATACGTACTAATACGTCTGTGAAAGTCTATTTGATACGTCGGTGAACTGAATATACGAACTTATGTGTGCCATAGTTTTCTGTATTTGTACAATTACCTGAAGTCCATTCACTTTCCTTTGTGATGCATTAACTTTTCAGGAAGATATTGCATTTAAGAAAAAACAGCAGGAAGAGAATAAGAAATTACAGGAAGCTCAAGCAAAGGCTGCTCAGAAAGGGCCGCTTGTTGGTGGTGGTATTAGGAAGTCAGGCAAGAAATGATTTTGTGCTGTTGAACATTATTGCATCATCTTACTATGAAACATTGAATTTTACTTCTTCAAACTATGATTACTCTTCTTTATTCTACAAAGTCAACTTCACATCCAATGCAGTTTGATTTTTATAAGACTATTACTGAATATAGTGACAAATAAAACCATTGCTTTCATTTTTCACCGGTTTTAACATATTTTATAATCAAAATAACTTAAAGTATAGGCCATTCTATACAAATTATTGCATTTTTATATTCTTTTAGATGGGAATGCATAAAATCTGTTTCAAGCCATTGAGTTCGATTTCATTAGCTCCAAATCACTTGCAACCATTTCTTTGACAAGCTCCTAGATAATTAATGTTAATAGCAGTATCATAACTTATTATAATTAGTCCTAACTATAGCTTAATTGTATTCAAAATTCAAATTATTAATCACTTTTTTACTTGTCACCTGAACTGGATAGGTAAATAACTGATTCATCAAATATGATATTGCTGTTTACTTAAAGGAGTTGACTACTTTTAAGATATTGATAACTTTTTTTTCACGATCCTCAGGATTTAGTGAAGGAAAAGCACTTTACCTCTAAAGTGATTTTAGCCTCCCAGTGAAGTTTTTCTTTTGCTTTTGTGGCATCTCCCACAAGCAAATCAACCTGGAATGAGTTTCACTTTCCTTTTTTACTCTTATTTTAAACTTCTGCGTAGTGTCTTATTTAAAACATAAAAAATTACAACTTACCAAACGCTAAATCGTTATTAAGAAAGACTCTATTTTTAATCAAATATGCGAATACAATAGAACAGAATTTTGACAGCTAACCTCTGTCGGCCTATAATATTTAGAGCTGACTTTCACTCGAACAATACCAGTTTCTTTTTCTCTCCCGACCTCATTAACTCCTTCACCCTCCCAGCTGCAAAAACATTTTAAGTTGATGAAACATAACGTTAACTATAAAAATCAAATGAATGAAGAAAATAAAAAAGAAAAAGCGGTTTCACTACATAGAAATTTTAATATCAACATCTAGATTAAAGAAGTTGACTATTTTTAAGATATCGAAAACTTTTTTTTCACGATCTTCAAAATTTAGTGGAGAAAAAGCAGTTACGTGAATAAATAGGATTAATGCAATAAAGCTTATAATTGTGCAGTCATCTTTGAAATATCTTTTGATACATAAATAGAATCGTCAATGAGACTTTATTGAAAGTTTACATTATTGTTTTTCCAATTTCTTTGAAAGCAAGCTCAGCAAACTCCCGTACTGTGCAATGTCTACCTGTTGCAATGACAAAATCATCAGGTTGATCGTGTTGTAATATTCTCCACATCGCCTGCGTAATGTATTTTTAATAACCAATACAAGGGTTAGTTTCCTCAAAACGCCATTATTAGTTGTTTTTCATTAAAGCCCCATTATTTATTGTAACTTCCACTTACAGCTGATTCGAAATTCACGCTTTTTCTGATAGTGTAACTAACTGTTACAAAATTCGAACAGCATGCTAACCTCAACATATTCCTTCGCATGTCCCCAGTCACGTCTTGAGCTCAAATTCCCTAAAACCAAAACTTCCTGCTGTCCGATAGCAATTTTCGCTACACCCCTTGTAATTTTTCTTGTTACAAATGTCTCACCTGAAACGAATCGACTCTTCATTGAATAGTCTTTGCTTACGAATTTTCGGTCCATGATATTTTGTACTGAGTAAGAATGGAGAGAAAAAATTATTGAAAAAAATACCTCGTCGTGGACTTTCATGGTTAAATAAAATTCCATTACAGGCAAACATGTTATATGCTTCTCGATAATTGACTACAATCCAATAGCTATAAAGTTTTGCCACGGCTATAAATATATGTGGTACACTTCCGTTATTAGTCATAGTTAAAGGTATTTAAGATCTATATTACAATCTTTAAATAATCATTTAACCAAAGTGGATGATACAGTTAGGTACATTAAAATCTCTATCACCATTTCTATTCAAATAAAGTCAAAGGTATTTATATTTCTCACAATTATGATTTGGCTGCTGCAAATGCAGTTCAGGTTCGACATGATTATTTTAGATAATTTCACTTGTTTTTGTATATTTATCAAATAAGCTCAATAAAGCATACCATAAGGAGAACGAGGATAGAAAGGTGTGGTTTCTTTTTGAGGGACTTCGTGTACTTTACCATAAAGTTCGGATGTTGAAGCTTGATAAAATTTCACTTTATTGGTTAGGCCACAAGCGTGAATGGAATCCAATAAACGTAATGTTCCTATGGCATCTACTTCAGCCGTATATTCTGGCAAATCAAACGATACCTAATAGAACAGAGACGTAACAGATAGAGTTCAGATTTTATGAATTTCATAAGTATTGTTAGTGAATACTTGTCTAAGACAGAAGGTTTTAAGCGAATAAAAAGTTTGAAACAAACCTTGACATGACTTTGAGCAGCCAAATGGTACACTTCCGTTGGCTGGATCTGACTAATGATCTTGATGAGACATGATGAATCCGTCATATCACCATAATGAAGTAGGAAATTTGAGTCAGCCTGATGTGTTATTGGATTCGAATACAAATGCTCAATTCTAGCGGTATTGAAAGATGAAGAACGACGAATAATGCCATGCACTTCATAACCTTTCGACAACAGCAGTTCAGCAAGATAAGAACCATCCTGATCATACAAAAAATGATAGGGCAAGAACGAAGTTCTCTTTACCAGATAGAAATAAATAATTTGAAAATTATTTACGTCATTAACATTGACTTTTTAGTGGTAAAAAGTGGGCTTAAATGCAAGGATCGTAAATGAAATTGGTACCTTCAGTAGGATCAAAAAAAAATTTGTAGAAAACAAAAAAGATTCTCGACGCCTACTTGTCCTGATATCCCTGTGATTAAAGCAACTTTTCTTCCTGCATATTTGTCGACATCCATTTCAGGTCCAGCATTTATCAAATGGTTACTGTGCTTACAAGCTTCAATTGTTTGCATATTTAGTTAATTTAGTTACTCACTACAATGAAAAGCAAGGCAAATATTGAACGAAGAATACCACCAATGATGAAGCATCATGCGCTTCTGCAGCTCTTATCAGCGATCAATATTCCTTCACAAATCATGCGTGAAAAACAAATTTGTTAGCAGTCAATTTCCTGAAATTCTAAACATTCAAATGTAGGCACAGACCGCTATATTCATCACAAGCACTACTTCCATCATAAACACATGCTCAATGATTTCTCTGCTGCACACTAACTAATTCCAGTTATCAAAATTTATAATCCATTGTTAAGGGATGCGTCATGCATCGTTTGACAAAAATAAGATCAAATTTCCTCTTCACTGCTAGTTTTAATTCAAAATTAATCAGATTGATTTGTTTCGTCCATACACCAACAGTTCCGATCAAAAAGCCTTCACTCTTATCACTCACTATGCTAATAAAGAATAGGCGCTGGCAACACCCATTACCACAATTTCAATTTATTCCATTAAACAAATTCAGTACCTTTCCATGCTACCTTCTCTTGCAGTCTTCCATCCAGTACTTCCTGATCCATACCGTCAAAACTTATGAAAGATCAAAAACAGAGAATGAGGGAACCACACAACATACCACACTTAAATGCTTTTAATTTATGCATTACACTCGTTGCATACTCTTTCTTTACTAATTCCTGTTACCCTTTATTTCTAACTACAAGAAAAAATGAATGCACATCCCTTTCATGATTTACTGATATGCTAACACAGATTCTGGAAGAAAGCCTGCCGAGAACTGCTCATCTTTTATTGTAATCTGACAGAAAAACACTCAGTTCTGCATGGATCGACCCTTCACTCAAAGAATGGACAAAAACTCCTCCACATTCATAATACTTAACTTTGAACAGACTATCGCCTTCTTATGAACGATGTAAAGTCTTCATTACTAGAAAAAATGAAATAAAATAATCCAAGACCTCAAAGTATGACAGGATATATAAAATCATTAGTTAGGCGTATATATCACATGTGTAGCTAGAGTGATTCACACACAAGTTCTGAGCAACACAATCAAATTTTATCAAAATTTAGTGTGTGTGAAGGCTAACTGGTCGCATATTAGAGCGACCAATCAGCCTTCATACATAGAATCTATTCAGTAGATGACAATATTTCCATCGCTAATTGGGACATTTTTAAAGTTCACTGTTCTAACATTACCACTTCAGCAATTATGCAATCAATAATCTACACCAAATAAAATAAAAATTTTTTAAGCGAAAGAACGAGCACATAAATAGTTTACATTTCAACAAATAAACAGTCCAAACTTCAAGACGTCAGAATAACAAAAGCGCAAGCAAACAAAAATGATATACTTCAGGATAATTGTTTAAAAGGAGCATTCTCACTAAAATCCTTTCGGATCTTTCGCTGCTACAAGTCAATCATTAATTTGATAAATGAAGAGTAACAAAACAAGACCACTGAGTAGGAATGAACTAAACCATTATACAAAGTCCTCATAACATTATTTTTAGATAGATAACTTTACAACTGAAAGAGAAAATCTTAACAAAACCATCAAGATCCATTTCGTCCAACTGAATGAAATCATAATTCAAATTGTTAGAAGGAACTTTTGTGAATGTTAGTTGCATAAAGAGCATTAGTTCTGGAATATGCACTACGACATGCATGTAAATCTACTGAGGAATAAAAAAAAAAAAACATTCCCGTAGCTTCGAACATGTATAATAGGTTGATACTACGATGAGAACGAAAAGATGTTAGAGAATTTTACAAAAATTAAAATATTTTTGTCACCACCTTGGTTAGATAGTTTTCCGAATTACTTGTTTTATAAATCATGATGAAAAAATTTTAATAACACTTAGAAAATTCAGAGGTGACCTATGTTTGAATTAATGTGAAATCCTGGATAACTAAACTTACTAAATGTCAAGAATATTTCTCTAAGCAAACTTACAGACAAAATAACACTGTAAATGTATAAATCTCGAACGGAAGGTAAAGAAATAGAGAAAATTTTTCTGCCATATTTAGCTGCTAAATTCCTAGTTTTGCGATACATGATAAATACACAACAAACTGCGTTAAATGTGTAAAGATATTTTCGACTGAAGACTTATAACGGCAGTAAAACAAATGAAGAATGGAAGTAGGAATATTTTTATATGTGGAAGAAACCCTGTCGCGAGAGAGGATGCATCACGACCCATCATTTGTTTTCGATTTATTTTATTTGGTATTATCAACTGAAATAATGTATAAAATAAAATATACTCACACAGAGGTATTAAATATAATAATTATGAACTGTTCGTCTTATTAATTTCATTACTAAACAAGTATAAAGTACTGACATTAAATTAATGTACATGTTTACTCCATTTTTGAGCGTGGGATAGCAGATCGGAGATCGCATGTAGTATATACAACACTTCCCAGCAATACAAAGACTGTCCCGATAAAGTGCAGTATTGTAAATGGATTCTTGAATGCAACCACTGATATAATCATAGACAGAAATTTTCGCAAAGTTACCACTACTGTTACATTTAATGACGTTGTTAACGATGTAAGCGTATACACATTTTTCACACAGATCCATCTGAAAATTGCTTAGATATCAAGTATTATTAATCAATGACCAATAACAACAAAAAAATCTGTCACTATTTCTTGGCAATATGCTTTGCTCATTGAGTAATAAATAACAAACTAAAACTAAAATTTTTAAAAGTTAAGAAATGAGAAAAATAAAATTTGAGAAATTGGTATTTTCCCCAAAAAATGTTGAAAACGGCCACTTGGCTTCACTATAATAGCTTCTCAGTTCTTAACTTCTTAAAATAGTTTAAATAAAACGTACTGAAACAAACAATTCAATATCAAATAAATCCATAACGAAGAAATTGGAAGTTGCAATCCTAAAATGCGAAGAAAATCGGAACTATTGAAATGAGACACAGCTTGCCGTATATCACTGTAGAACAACACAAAGCCCGGTAACGACAAAACATGCTAAAAAAGTTGTAATTTCCCTTAATATTTGAATCGACAGTTCTTTATAAGTGGAGTAAAATTATACTCTATTATAAATGCAGCAAAAACGAATATACTAAGTATGTTAAACGAACAACGAAAAACATTGCTTCTTCATAATGATTTCCGTATGTCCGATAAAGATCTTCCTGATATATGCCCAAATAAGCGGAAAGGAAAACAGCAAGAAAGAGCAAAAGTATTCCTGCAATAAAAAAACTATTACAAAGTAAATTCCTCTTACATGACTTTTGAAGTAAGCAACTCACCGAAAATACTTAAATGCTAGATCATACTCACAATAAGATTTATTGCACAAATGTAATAGATATTAACTAGTTCTCAGACTCTTCAAGCTCAAATTAATAGGATCCTAAAAATATGACAAAAATAAGCCTGCTATATGATTACTGATATAAAACCCTTTCCAACAGACAGAAGCACGTACTAAAACTGTTATATATATTCCAGATTATGAAAAAAGCGTATTTAATGGTTACATAAATTTTGATACAAATACTAACAGAACCTGTACTGGAACCAGATATGAACCATGAATGTCGATGTTCTGCATCAACATGTTTTACAGTATGTTTCGGGAATTTGTCAGCAAAAGTGAAAAGTACAACACCAGCAGTGATGAGCAGAACAGACAAAAGTTTCTTCCAAGAATATGCCCGACTTCTAAGACAGTATCCAAGAATAATATTTGCCAATAACGTTCCCTAAAAGCTTTGAAGAATCATTAATTAAAAATAGTTTCATTACAGCCAAATACCTAACAGAATCCAAGTTCTCAATATATTCAACATCCTTATTAAACTTTTCAGCATGCCAATTTAGATATACTTTCTCCAAGATACTACGTTCTTCATCGTGCTTTTGATTCTCCAAACTTCCGCGATGTGAAAAAAACAAACAACAACCAGTTTTATAGCAAAACTGAACTATTTAATAACATTATAACCACTTACAGAACGGAATATGATTAAAAGAGGTACAGAAATGTCATACTGCAAAGATAAGTTGTTTGCGACATTTATTACGAAAAATAAGATGACAACACGTAAATAGCCTCTGAAACTACAATAATTTCTATAAAAATTAAGTGCATTTTTGCATTTCATTCTCAAAAGCTTTTTCACATCTTACATATTTGGTTTCAAACATTTCAATCAAAAAAAGTACTCACATAAAAATTGTGTGAATTCAGCCATTATAAGTGAATTATGAACTTTAGAAGGCAAAGTGAAAAATGTGTAATCAATGAACCGTATCAAAGGTATTTTGTTTCGCGGTAAATGCTTGAAATATTGTGATTGCTTAAGAAAACCAATAAATGATATGAAGAGGAATGTTGAGCACGTCAACAAGTTCATACAATTTGGACTAAGCCTGTAATAGTTTAAATCTCCAAATCAGCAACATAATTATTTTACAATTTTTAAACAATTTTTTTACATGGCTGTAAAAAGTGTTACTTTGTAATAGCTTCAACAGTAACCATGCAGCCAACACACGCCGTCAAAACACTTCCCACTACACACTTCATCATGGAGCAGTATTTGCCTCAGTATTTCGATCACATAATTTTCATGAGAATTCGCATGACTTGAGACTGCTCTCTGACCATAGATGATCTAAAATTAATGCGCAATTAGAAAAGTAGTGCTTACTTTAGCTACGCGCATGACCTCATTTTAACAAAAATAGATTGTCAATAAGATGCCACCATTGATTATAATATACATAAATCAACTTTATTTTTACTCCAATATAATGCTTAAATCTTCTATCATAAAGTTTTAATTACCATACTTGATAGAAAAGATTCAATATGAAGTGGAAAAGTGATCAAAGAATTGATCGAATTTCAACTCATTATTAAGTAAATTCAATTTACGGCAGGTGATAAGAGAGCAGAGGTATGCAACAAAGTGCAGATAGTATACGGAAGCTATGAAAAGTTTTAAATGTCATAAAATAAAATAAAAATTTAAGAAGCTAATCGAAATAGTCTTGCTAGAATTCAGTTTCTCGATGCTTGAAAGTACTCAAATGTAAATAAAACCTTGGCAATACACAAAAACGCCGAAAAAGCTTACTAATTATAGAGAACGAAAGTCTCATACACTAACCTACAATTTCAAGCCTTGGAATCCCTATCCCTACGACCGTTCTCACATAAACAGAAAAGCAGACAGGACAGCACTGCACAAATTTCATCCCTTGTGAGAGGAGATAAATAGTACTCCGTAGCCTTTTCAGTTTCCCGGTGTTTCTCAGCAATTTTTCATTTTTGACTGTAAAGAGCATTCTGTGATTTAGAGATTTTGAGGGTGCTTTTAAAATTCGGTCTCGCGGTTACAATGTCTAAAAGTATTTTGAATGAGTGAAATGAAAAGGAGGGAAAGCAGGACTAACTCATTGCCTTGAAATTTACCTTGTTGCGAGAATCAAATACCTTTGCCAAGTATGTGGGTCTGTTGCAAGCATGAACCACGTTAGTTGATTAATTTTCAATATCCTCACTGATCGTGCATTAATACTGAATAATTTTTGTTTTCAAGGATTTATTCAAGACATAAATGAACAAACTTGCATCTCATGGGATGCACACTGCTTCGACCTCAACAGCTTTGTCACCACTAGCTATACTTGCGTTACCAGCTAGCAAAAGGATGAAGATGAGCTGCTACCAAACCGATAAAATTTCTGATTTCGCTCAAGATACTGACTTCGTGAGGGTTATTTTTTTTCATATCATAGCTTGAAAGCGCAATGTGCATCACTTATATATGTTAATAATGCATAGCGGTAAATAATATGTAGATGATAGTCAATCAGAAGGTGAAAGATTTCTACTGCATGTGAGTATTTATTTCAATTATTTCATTTATAAATTTAAAAGGCTTTTAACATTATATATATAATATAATATAACTTTCTCACATGTTGCTATAGCAACAATTGTTCAGTAAGTTACTGCAAACATATTGGTAGAAGCATAGAAATTTGTGGTGTTAGTGATGGTAAATATGAAAGAGTTTCTGTTAGTAATATTTTTACTAAAAATAGGCTGATTAATCAAAAAAGAAAATTGAATGCTAATGTATCAGCATGTATCGTGTGTTTCACTTTTTATATTTTCAGCATCTTCGGTACCATATGAAGCAACTTTGTATTGATCAAAAAAATGTTGTTGTTTACGAAATATTGGTAATAGCTATTTTTTGATATTATCTTTAGATGAGACTTGTCAGAAATCTTATGGAAAGGTATGTTTTAGACTGCTAGTGATCCACCAAATTTGGATTACGCGTCTTCATTGCTCGATGAAATGGGGTATGTGACGATATCTGAGCAGAATGATTCATTCAGTTCAATGCCTTTACCAGTTGCTCTTGAAATTTTTCGTCTGCTGGATCCAAGTAAGGATCTCCTGTTTTTCATTTGCGAATGGAAACTGCATTTTTTAAAGCGACATTTTCGATCAAAAAATAAGCATTTTACTCATCTACATGTTCTCATTTGTTTCATACTGTTTCATTTGTCGTCGTTACAGAATCACTTTGCAAATGTATGCTTGTATGCACATCTTGGAGAAATATATGCCTAGCGCCGTGTTTGTGGCGAAGACTTTATTCTATTCAGCGAATGTTTCGAATGCGTTCTGTTGAGTCTGAGAAAGAGCAATTGAAAAAACACACCACGTGTAATGGTGTGGTCTTATGGAAAGAAGCATTCATCGAACGTTACCGATTATGCAGAAATTGGCACGCTGGTCGTTGTGTCGTCCGCACTTTTGCTGGTCATGTACAAGGTATAACTGAACTGATTCTTTGTGTGCTAACTCAATGAACTTGTGAATTTTAAAATATATGTGATAGGTACCATTGTGTAAATTACTGGCGTTCGCTCAGGTATTTCAAATTTTCAGTGAGTACACCAAGTTTATTGATATTTTTTTGATATATGTAAAAATTATGCTTGTATTTTGTCCAGTTCTTATAAAGTTGACTTCTTTGCTTTTGGAAATAAAGTTTCACTATTTTTAGTTATTAAACACATTTTTATGCACTCTATTGCGTCGAACAAACCTGAGAAAAATTCAGGTATAACTTGCGTTCAGTTTAGCAGTAAGCGTATTGTATCCGGAAGCAGCGATAATACCATTCGTGTCTGGGACGTGGACAATTCATCTACACCTGGTATAGGCACCATGACATTAACTGGTCATTCCGATGCCGTTCGTTGTTTGCATTTGAATGGTAATCGCCTTGCTTCTGGTTCCAACGACTTGACAATCAAGGTTGTAGAGCTTTTGTCAGTTTAAACCCTTCATTTTTGCTTTCTTAGATTTAAAAGTTTTCTTTTTCCAATGGGCAGAAAGTTAACTGATGTGAACAGTATACAATTTCCTCATTAGTATTGTCTAAAATTTGATTTGTTATTTTTGTCTCAAGTAATCTGATGTAAGCTTCCAGAAATAATGAAGTAAATATAGATTTTAGCAGAAAACCCATGCGATTGTTTTTAAATGACAACTTGCTTAGTTGAGTATAATAATAGAATGTAGTTCAGATGAAATAATCTTTGAAAGCTAAAAATTTCAAGGTGTGGTCTCTTGCTGTGAATCAAACGTGGTCGTCGATCGCTTGTCGTCAAACAATGATTGGTCATACAAATTATGTGCGATGTCTGCAAGTAATGTGTTAATTTCTCTCAAGTGTTTGAAATTTCATGCTCTTTTCAGTTTATGGTCTATTGCATTCTTTGCTTCGGTGTTGAATCATTGTGATTTTAAAATCTGCAATAAAAGTAATGTCATCATTGTAGCACGTAGTTTTATCTGTTTAGATGGAAGAAAACAGACTAATCAGTGGTTCTTACGATCACACTTTAAAAATATGGTCCACGAAAACCGGACAGTGTACGAAGACTTTAATGTAAGTCTCGTGGAAATCGCATTACAGAGATTTTTCAGCTATTCAGAAAATGAGATATTCTGACAATGACTTCATTCTACTTTGTATCATCGGTTTGTTTGAAGAGGTTAACAATGTAAAAAATCAAGTTCTTTCTTTTGGTAGCAATTTTTTGCTAATTATTTTGTCTCTACAAACTTACATGCAACTGCCTTTTGTAAGAAAGCTTCGGAATCCCATCCTCTATGCTGTTCTAAAAAAATGTTTAGCTTATAGAGGACATAGTGGAGCTGTAATTTGCATGCAGTCTAATGGGCATTTACTCCTATCAGGATCAGCCGATCTTTCTATGAAAGCAAGTTTCTATTATGTGAATTGGAATTGGCTTTGATATACTATTTAGGCTAAGGAATTTGAAGCCCTTATTTTCAGTTAAAAATATTTATTACGCTACTGAAATATATTTCGACTCTGCGATCATTTGTTTAAGTGTTGGGATGAACGAATGGATGTTTGTGCGATGACTTTACATAATGCACACGATAATGCAATAACATGTCTTCAGTTCTATAATGACCGAATAGTATCCGGATCTATTGATCGGACAATTAAAGTAGGATATCCTTTTCGAGTTTTGATGTATTATCATTCTTTCCTCTTTGTTTCATGGTGTATTCGGACTAAGCACATCATCCTAGACAGTATTAGATTTACAATTAGTTTTCACTTTACGTTTTTCCTTAAAAAATACTTCTAGTATGCATTTGACAGCACAGATCAAGTAGTTCACTAACTGGGTATCATAGAAGTTTAGTTTATGATATTTGAAAGAAGTTATTTTCCGAATATTATAAAAAGCTTTGCTCTATTCATATTAATATCTAGATTTCACTTAAACGTTCTGGACTTTTAATTTTTTTCACATTTTAAACTGAATCTTTTAAGAAGTAATTTAAAGATATGGGATCTACGAACTGGAAAATGCGTTCAAACACTGGACTGGAAATTGAGTGAAGGACATACAGGTGTTGTCAGATGTCTTCAAATAGACTCTTGGAGAATTGTTTCAGCAGCCGATGATAGAACAATTAAAGTATGTTTTCGCTTTCACGAGTTTGCAACATTGAGTTTTGTAAGTATAAAAAATTTAGGTGTGGAATTTGCATACTGGTGAAAGACTCTGTACTCTTCATAGTCATACCGATGGAGTTACATGTGTACAGTTTACTGATGACCAAATAGTGTCTGGCTCTTACGATATGACTGTTAAGTTGTGGGATTTTGGAGTCGCTTAAGGACTTTCAGTTTGAGGCGTTCGTTTTTATAGACATCTTTTATTTGCAACATTTTTCTTGTTTTCACTAAAAAGCCTCTGATGGTATATATAATTACTTTGCTATAAACAGCATTCAAAATTTTTCTTGTGATTCCGTGCAATCAAGATAGAATTTTTAGAGATTGAAAGATGTGTAAATCGCTTTGCCTTGAAAAACAAGTGCTATTTTTTAATTTGTCTGATAAGAATTGTTTGAGATCTCAACTGAGAAAAGTAGCAGAAAAAGCTAAAGATACCTTTGCGCAGTATTAACTAGAGTGAACATTAATTCTCTTAGTACTTTATTAATTCGGTGGTTTTCATGTAGTACAAACTTTTACTGTTATGTTGAATTTCGGTCATATTACATGCAAATAATTTGACGTATGGATTATCATTTTGTATGAATAAATAAATTGGTGGGTTTGGTATTTTATGTATGATCCTTTTTGTTCGATGAAATGCGATAATTATATTCTTGTACGTGTATTGTTTGTCAACAAATTGATTTTATGTTAATTATTTCCACTTATCTTACTGAAGTTCCAATTACTTTCATTTAATAAACTAAAATTGTTGATTACATTCTTTAAAACTGTCATTTAGTATAAACATGACAAATTTTATGTTTCTTAAAATAATCCCAAATTTTCTTAACAGTAGTTAAAATGGACTGTGTTGGTAGCCATGAAGCAGCAATATCAAGTGATGACGAGAGCGTCGAAGATGAGACTGAAGCTTTGCCAATTTCTCTGGGTAATTAAACGAATTCTATTAATTTCTAATGAATATTGAATGAGGAATTTTTCTTCCAGTCTGCAGGTTTGAAGTCATGCTTAATGCATCTTTTGTTGCAAGAAGTGTTTTATTGTTTTAAGCGATTTGATTATACTTCTAGCAATGTTTGATTTCAAACAGTGTGACCCAAAGCGATGCACAGGACGCAAGCTAGTACGTTATAATTTGGTTAAAGTTATGAAGCTAGGAAGTAAATTCAGTGGCTTGCTGCTTTCTCCCAATGGTGATAGGACACTGTCTGTAGAAGATGTTGGTTTGATCACTAATAAGGGCCTCGCTGTCGTAGATTGCAGTTGGAAGCAGGTGTGTTGGCTTGTAGTCGTTACATTCATGTTTTAGTTCCATTTAAGAAAATTTCAAGAGTTTTTATAATTTCAGGTAGGTGTAACTCATCTGAAGTATGCTAGATGTACTCAACAGCGTCTCCTACCATATTTGGTTGCAGCTAATCCAGTGAATTTTGGAAAGCCATGTCAACTAAGTTGTGTAGAAGCGCTAGCAGCGGCATTGTATATTGTTGGTTTCAAAAATTTTGCTGGGGTGATTCTGTCAAAATTCAAATGGGGTTCAAATTTTTTAACAATGAATAAAGACCTGTTGGAAGCATATGCGGAATGCAAGACTAGTGCGGATATTATTGCACGGCAAAGTGCTTACTTGAAAATGTTGGAAGAAGAGGCAAAAGAACTGAAACAGTGTCCCATTGATATGCCTGAATCGTATGACGAAACTAGTAGCAGTGATGAATAGCATGGGGTTGTGTTCAGGTCATATGATTTTTGTTTAGAGTATGTGTTTATATCTTTTAAAGTTGTTCTCACTGTTCTAAGATCTAAGAAACTATGATTTGATTTTAATATTTTCTTGAGATTATTTTAGGACGTGAAGGACACATAATCTGGGACAAGAATTTCTGTGATAACAGTTTCTGTTAAAAGTAACAGACTTTTTATCCACTCACATTGTTGTCGACGAATTTTTATGCTTACTGTTTTGGTTCTGCCAGCATGCGCAAACATAAATTTTTTTGTGTGTCAAGAAACGTTGGTAACTTAAGGTTCCCGGTGCACAGTATGTTGTTCGTATTGATTCTTGAAAAAGGCGAACGAAATAGGGTGCATGTTGAAGCATTGATTCATATCTAGCTGATGTCAGTTGAATACCTCGTAACACTTGAAGTGTTATATCTTCCATTCTGTTGAGTTGTAAACCTGATTCCCGTGCTTCATGCAAAGTTGTGCTTAGCTAAAAAATAAATTTTTTATACAAATTTGAGCACTTGAACGAGCAGTGATACCTGATGTGTATAGCGAAGATCGGTCCAGCACAAAAATCCATCCTCACATAGAACTCTGGAACATTCTTGGAAGAATTGTCGGCAGTTAGCGTAAAGATGGCTGCTTTCAACACTTAGAACGATATCAAATGAATCGTTATCAAATGGTAATTGTTCTGCTCTTCCTTGCACAATTCTCCCACATTTGGAATCCACTATAATCGGCTCAATCCCATTTACGGCTACAAATGATTGATGAGCTCTGCAATTCATCTCTAATAATTTGACTCGTGTTTGGTGCTTGAGGTTTTCAGGCAGTAATAACAAAATTATGGTTCATGGAGGTGGTTTAAAGTGGACCACAAGGCCTGTTGTGTTCTGCGCAGCTTTTGATATGAAATGTCATTCCCGAATTTTGTGTCTCATAGCTCTCTGGCAAAATTTGGTGAAAAGAATGGAAGCAAGAAATAGTCATTAAACTACGTTGATATTTTGAAGAAGTATTTTGTGCACCTTAAGATCCACTCGATGCCACCGCCCTGACCACATCCAACTTCAAGTAATCGTAAACCATCGAAATTAGGATATTTAGGGCACAAACTTAATGCTTTTTCGTAAAGTGCAATATTTGCTTTGCAGCACAAGTCTTCTGCGCATAATTTCTTCAAATTTGGTAACTCTTCATCTTCTAAACTCTGATATCCGAGATTCATGAATCGTAAATTGTACTGATTATGTAGAAAGCGTAGCATTGGATATATGATGAATCGATCGAATAAGAAGTAGTAAGATTTATTCAGAATATTTAGTAAATAGTCAAACATATCAATGAATCGTCAACATGAAATGTGGACAATCTTTTTCACGACGAAATATTCATCATCTACCACATTAGAGAAGAGTGCATTATTAAGCAATTCCGTTGCCGGATTGTTTCTCAGTTTGCCAAAATTTTTAAAAACCGAAAAAGTATAACTTGCAAATTTCACAGTACTACAAAAAACTGATAGAAACAATGTGGATGAGAGAGATGAAATAAATTATTTGCAAGTCTTATCATGTGAATTGTCTATTGATATAAAATGTTCTTAGATCATGTTGTAATGAAAAAATGAGCTGATAGCCGAAATTTAAAAGTGAAGCAAATGCGCAAAATTCTGGCTCAACAAATAAAATAGTGAGGAGTAAAACGTGGAAACAGATGAATAAATGCTTGGCAATGTTCACTAAATGAATCTTAGAAGATGTGAAATATAAATAGTAGTTAGTTAATGCAGTGCAAAAATTATAGGCAATTACAAATTCATCGCTAGACTACTGTAGTATCAGTTAGGACTTTATCTTTCTACCTTTTCATTCCGTTTACTTCCCATGCCATCATTTATCTGTGCTATTCTCGTACCACGATCCATCCGAATAGTATCAACGCAAAAATGTCGCTCAGTCGACGCAGCAGTTATTGACATGTTTTAATGTAGTAATGAATACACACGATCAAGCTCTTCACATAAATAAGCGAATAGCGAAAAAATCAAAATCTTTGGTTAGATTATTACAAGTATTAATTTTAGATGAAATTTTAACCATAAAGCAC